GGGAAAGCACTATCTATTTCCTTACATTCCCAAAAAAGAGGATGCTATTTAAAATTTGCTGGAGATTGAAAAATTAACTGTGCAAAGCAGATTGATCACAAAATCAGAAGCATGATCTCAAACATCAGAACCCAGCTTTTATTGAATGAAATGGGCCCCATTGAATGAAACTAGGGTATTATAGTTTATATTATATTTTTTTTAAAGTACAATGTCGGGGCCGCCCGAGCCTGGGGCCCTGGCGCTCTACTATATTATAGGCCTAGACTAGACCCAGGCCTCCTACTATAGTATAGAGGCCTATAGTCCAAGACCTTGTTGCAAATCCCAGCCCACATAAGCCTAGCCTATAATCCCTAGCAGGGCAGGGCCGTAGGCAGGATTTTCGATGGGGAGGTGCGTTTTGCAACCGAAGTGGACCTTACGATGGGCGACTGCCTAGGGGTCCCCGTGAGGGTGGGGCAAATCTTCTGGAAGCTCTGAAAAATCAGCATTTTGAGGGCCTTTTTTAATGGATTTCTCAAAATCCCTAATTTGTAATATCGCGATTTAAATTTTCATTCATTTGAGTATTGTATAGGGACCTACAGTAAAAGCAGCAGAAATAGAGGGTGGGGGTGAAGGGAGGAACTTGAGACAGAAAGTCAATACTACCTCAGCCCCACCATGATTGGGGCTGAGGTAAGAAAATTTATGATTATGGCACCTCAAAATGCAGGAAAGGGGACTCTCAGACAATTATGATTTTTCTTTTTTTCTCAATTTTCTTTTATAATTTTAGGGGGCTCTTCTCCCTTGAATCCACCACTGTGAAATTGTAATTTTTCATGTTCTTTACATCTGTAGGCCTACAGATGACATGGATCAATCTGCAATCACTGGAGCTGATAATTTCAGCACATTATTAAAAATCAACGGGTAAAAGAGCGGGCAAAAAAATGTAATGCATACTATAGCATTTCGCGATAATTAGGAACGATTTTAGTGAAATAATATGTTTTAAAAGTAAATTTTTTGAAATTGGGTGGTCCAGGGGCAGAGGCCTGGAGGGGGTTTGTGAGAAAAGTGACAAAGTAGCATTTTGAGGGTCTTACATAATAGATTTCTCAAACACATAATTCATGAATATTTCATTAGAATTTTCATTAATTTGGGTGTTTTTGGGACCTGAAAAAGTAACGTTATTATGTCCTGTACATCTGCATGCCTATAGATAACATTCTTCATATTATATAGATCAATCTGCAATCACCGGAGACGCGTATCAATTTCTAACAAATTTCATGCCACATTATTAAAAATCAACGGTTAGATACGCTGGCAAATATATAATGCAATGCATGCTATAGAATTTTGTAATAATTAGGAACGATTTTGTGAAATCATAGGTTTTAAAAAGTGGACCTTTTGTTGGAATTTGTGGGGTGCGTCCGCACCCCCCCCCCACCTGCCTACGGGCCTGAACTTGTGATCGCGGTACCCTGAACATTAAAAATTAGCAGACGAACTGGGAAGCGTTGTTCACGGCATTGGACAGCAGCGAAAAATGATTCCCCCATCATTAATGAAACAGGCCCACGTTATGCTTGGCTGATTAGTTTTGATTTACATTTCGCAAGTCTAGTGCCATACGCAGCAAAAGTCTATTTCTAGTGTTGTTGTAAAATGCATTTCAAACCACACAGGGTTTTTGATTTTCATTTTGAAATATAATTTGGAGAGAGCGCTTGATCAAGTCAGACCTACGTTTTGAATTTGAATTACATTTTAAAGAAATTAGAACTACATTTGGAAAAATTTGAACTACGTTTTGAAAAATTAGAACTTCATTTTGAAAAACTAGATCTACATTTTGAGAAATTTACGCCTATGTTTTAATAAATTAGACATTGAATTTTGCAATTACATTTTGATTTTAACATTGACTTTAGCTGCGTATGGCACCCCGTAGGGTTCCAGTCCCTAATTTTGTCTTGTGAAAACTATTAAAAATAAATCTATTTTAACACCAATGGCGTTCTATATTACTTATTGGCATAACGTTCCATACTATACTTTTTCTGTGATTAGGGACTGGGACAACAGTGAAGATTTCGCGTTGCATACGCCACGGTTTCATGTTGTCACGTGATGTCAATTAAACGCTCTTGATTGGTTAAACCTTGCATAACTTAAACATGCAAATTTTGCTTCACCTCGGGATGATTCAGGACGTGACCAAGTTGTGGGCCGTCCAGTGGTAGGCCCTGTAATCCAGGGTTGCCATTTGGCCTTTTGACGGCCAGATTCCCCCGACGGTGGGGCCGATTCCCCCGACGAGGAGGAAGGTATCCCCGACGAGATCAAATTGGGCGTGGTAGAGCGTCACTTAAAATGTTGCCAAGGTAGTCCAGGCGGTTCGCCCCCGGAAATTTAGGGTTTTCAAAGGCTTGTATAGGATTGTAGAGTCTAATAATGTGCAAAATACATATAAATTGTTTTCTTCTCCCCGACGAATTGTGGTTTTCTCCCCGACCGGGGGAGGGGAAGCTCTCCCCGTCAGGGGCCCTGTCCCTCCCCGTCAGGGGCCCTGTCCCCCCCCCTCTAGCGCCACCCCTGGTCTTAACACCGGTTTACATTACTAATACTAATGCAACTTTCATTCTAATTATAAAGAGACCCACGGATTTTTCGTTGAAGATTCCATAACAGGCCCTTACTATTGCTATAGATCGACTACAATTAATACATTTAAATCAAATTTAGATCTTAATAATGTGACTTTAAATTATAGATATTTGATATTATGATGTAGCTGGGCATTTAATTGTGATTAATTATAAAAACAAAAACATCGAAAGATTGACATTGTCCTGTGCAGGTACGTAGCCAGGATTTTGAAAGTGGGGGGGGGGGGCGGGGTGGGGAGCCGTTATGCGAATTACGTAGGACCCCGGCGGGGTCCAGGGGGCGAATCTACATGTGAAGTAGCGCACTCTGAACGTTCTTAGGACTATTTTGAGATAATAAAGTGAAAATTGCAATAGACGCATTATAAATAAGCGCAACAATAATTATACAATAAATCAACAGTGGCGGATCCAGGAATTCGAAAGAGAGGTGAACCAGGGAGGGACTATCACAGACCGAGGAACCACCCACCTCAGCACCATGGTTGGGGCTGAGGTAAGAAAATTTATGATTATGGCATCTCTAGATGGCCGGAAATTACACTCTCACACTTAAATTTGAATAGTCCTATATTTTCTTTTTTCCCCTTAAAACATGATGGGGGGCCTTGAATCCACCTCTGCTCAAAACATTCTTTTATCCAAAATAGTCATAATCACGAAAAATGGGTATGAAAAACCAGATCACATGCTAAAAACAAATGTCTTCGCCTCAGCAGTCACTAAGACATACTCGATGGAGTTTAATATCATACCCAGGGAAGGGTACAGATCTGTTTTGAAAGGTGGAGGGGGAGGACATTTTGTGAGTCAACACCCACCTGAGACCCACCATGGTTGGAGTTGAGGTGAGAAAATTTGAGGAAATAGTACCTCTAGATGGCCAGAAATAACACTTTTATTAAAATTCATCATCACATCACCATTAATCATAATGAAGCGCCAAAAAAAAAAATTATCATGATCTTTTATCAGGGATTTTTGGCAAGCATAGAGATAGTATTAATGTGTGTGTGATATACCATAGAAAACAAAGCATAAAACATTGTCTTTGATTATGTACTTTATCATACTTCAAAACCGTGATTTCACAACCACCTCAGCCCCACCATGGTCAGGGCTGAGGTCAGAAAATTTGAGGAATTAGTACCTCTAGATGACCGGAAATGACACTTTTCTATAGTAAAATTCATCATCATCACATCACCATTATATAGTCAAATTTCTTGTGATCTTTTATCAGGGCTCTACTTAATATCCAGGACAACTTAGGCCTAATTATAGCTTACTAAGCTTTAACTATACTATAATAATTATGATCAACAAACCACAACCTTTTTTCGCATTTAGCACAATTTTCTTCACTTTTTAATG